AAAAAAAAAAAAAAAAAAAGTTTTTTTTTTTTGTCTCCTTTATCTTTTATACATAAGGAGACAATAAATAAATAAATAAATAAATAAATAAATAAATAATAAATAATAATAATAATAATTTTGTCTCCTTATATAGTGTCTCCTTTTTATTCATAAAAGGAGACACTTTATATACTACTACTTAATTCTCCTCCCCCTCTCTCCTCTCCTAACACTCTTGCCTAAAGGGGGCCCCAAGGGGGCCCCTAAGAGGGGCCCCCTGCAAACCTTTAAGGGGACCCATTAGTGGCAGCTCAGCAGCCCCTGCGGGAGCTGCTGCTGCTGCTGCAGAGGAGGGGCTGCTGCTGCTGCTGCCCCTCCTCTAGGAACCTTAAAAGGTATCCAAAGATACGCTACCTACTTGGGGCCCCTCAAAAGGGGCCCCTCCTAAGGGGCCCCTATTAAGGGGCCCCCATTAAGGGGCCCCTTTAGGTATTATTAGAGGTTTGTGTCTCCTGTAGGAGGAGATCAAGGACATAAGGAGGAGGGATAATCATGAATACCTCATCAGAGGCTGTGAGGTCAGAGGGGGGCCCCTGGGGGGCCCCCTTGTGGGGGCCTCCTCCTTCATTCTTAGGCTTGGGGGGCCCTACCCTTATAGGGGCCCCCGCAAGGGCAACAGCGCATTTAGCTATTTCCTAAGAAAGGAGACAACAAAAAAAAAAAGAAAAAATAAATAAATATAAATAAAAAAGAACAAAAAAAAAAGAAAAAGAAAAAGAAATAAAAAGTGTCTCCTTTTATATTATAAATATAAACTTGTCTCCTTTTACATAAATATAAATAAATAAATAAATAAATAAATAAATAAATAAATAAATAAATATTTATATATATATATTTATGGATATATTTATTTATTTAAATAAATAGATAAGTAAATAAATAGATAAATAAATAAATAGTCTCCTTTTTTTTTTCTTACTTACTTGTGGTGTCTTAAGGGGCCCCTCCTTAGGTTTATTCCTTAGGAGACAAATACCATTACCTGTCTCCTTATTATAATTAATAATGTACCCTATCTCCCTCCATCTATTCTTTTCTTTTTCTTTTCCTTTTCCTTCTTCTTTTTCTTCTCCTTCTTCTTCTTCTTCTCCTTCTCCTTCTTGTCTATAAATAATATATCCAGGGCCAATATTCTGACTATTGGTACCCTTTTTTTTGACCCCTGTGAGGCCCCCTTGGGGGCCCCCAAGGGGGCCCCCATGGGGGCCCCCTTGTGAGAGGGTACCAGGGGGCCCCATAGGGGCCCCCTGTTGTATATAAGAGGAGACAGTTGCTGCTGCTGCTGTTAATGCCTCTAACCACCAAGAGACAACTCTTGAGGGTAGGGTACAATCAAGAGTAGGTAGGGCCCACTGGGGTTGCTGCTGTACCCTAGCGGGGGCCCCCCTAGGCCATGGGGGGCCCCCCTTAATAATAAGAAATAAACGTTTATAAATAGATAATTGATGTATAGATCTAGTAAGTAATTCTTGTCCTATATAGCATCCTTTATTAATATATTTATTATTATTATTATTATTATTATTATAAATATAATTATTAATTATATATAATAATATATCCATGTTTATTATTATAGGTATATATATACCTATACCTATCTCCTTTATACCTTCGCATATACCTAAGTAATGTCTATATATATCATATATACCTAATACTTCTTCTTCCTCCTCTTCCTCCTGCTGCTGCTGCTGCTGCTGCTGTTGCTGCTGCTGTAGCTGTTGTTGTTGTTGTTCCTCATGCTTGCCTGCTGCTGCTGTTGGACCTGTAGTAGTAGAAGCAGCAGCAGCAGCAGCAGCAGCAGGATCCACAGGGAGGGGCGGCGAGGAGGAACGGCCTGCTGCTGCTGCTGTTGCTGCTCTTGCTGCTCTTGCTGCTGCAGTGGGCCCCTTGGGGCCCCACACGTTACGGTGTATGTACACCCTATGCCCTAACCTCCAGGTACGAGGATCAGCAGCAATGAGTCCCTCTGTCCATCTACCTGCTGCTTCTTCCCCTTCTGCTGCTGCTGCTGCTGCTGCAGCATCTGTTTCTGCATCTGTTGCATTTATTGCATGCGTGCTGCTGCATGCATCTGCTGCTGCTGCTGCATCTGCTGCTGCTGTTGCACTTGCTGCCTCTATATAACGAAATATAAATTGCCCTTCCTTAGGGCAGCAAGCAAAATCATATGTCTGCATGAATAGACTATGTAGGGGCCCCTCTTGCTGCTGACGCAGCAGGGAGCGGGGGCCCCTACCTACTCCTTGCTGCTGCAGCAGCAGAGACACATAAGGAGAAGGCAGCAGCTGCAGAGGAGACAGTTGTGTCTCCTCCTCTAAGGAGACATCTGCTGCTACGGCGTGACGCTGCAGCAGACACAACAGACACACAGCAGCAGCAGCAGCAGCAGCAGCGGCAACTGCAGCAAGAATGGTGCAACAACAGCAGCAACAGCAGCAGCTGCTGCTGCTGCAGCAAGGGAAGGGAGTAGACAAAAAGGGTAACAGGAAAAGGATAAAAAAGAGAAAAAAAAGGAGACAAAAAAGGAGACAAAAAAGGAGACAAAAAAGGAGACAAAAAAGGAGACAAAAAAGGAGACAAAAAGAGGAGACAAAAAAGGAGACAAAAAAGGAGACAAAAAAGGAGACAAAAAAAGGAGATACCTGTAGATAGAGAAGGAGACGATTAATTAGGGAAGAATTAACATCTAATAAAAAAGAAGGAGACCCTTCCTTTGTCTCCCTGCAGCAGCAAATAAAAAAGGAGACAATTAACAGCAGCAGCAGCAGCAAATGCAGCAGCAGCAAATGCAGCAGCAACACAGCAGCAGCAGTAGCAGCAAACATAGCAACAGGTGCATTACACGCAGCAACACCAGCAGCAGCACAAGAAGCAGCTGCAGCAGCAGCAGCATTACCATCAGAAGCAGCAACAACAGCATCAGCAGATGCACCACCAGCAGCAGTAACAGCAGCAACAGCAGCAACAGCAGCAGCAGCAGCAGCAGCAGCAGCAGCAGACCTCCATATAAGTAAGGCATCAGCAAGTACTCTCCCCTTAGCATTTAAAAATGCTGTCGCTAAGGCTGGCCGTCTCCATAGCCGCAGCTGCTGTATGCTGCTGCTGCTGCTGCTGCTGCTGCTGCTGCTGCTGCTGCTGCTGCAGCAAAGACGAAATGATCGAGGAGGCAAGGGGAAGGTCATCTGACTATTAGGGACTTCCTGCTCTTTAGGGTTCACTTGCATGCGGGTAAGGGGCCCCGAGGGGCCCCTAGACCCCCCTGGGGCCCCCTGGGGCCCCAAGGGCCCCAGGGGCCCCAATGCTGCTGCTGCCTTGGGGCCCACAAGAGGGGCAAAGCAACGTATGTCTTGTGTTATTAAGTTTTGTAATAAACTGCAGCAAAGGAGACAAAAGGAGACAACAACAACAGCAGCAGCAGCAGCAGCAGCAGCAAAAGGAGACAATAATAAATGAATAAAAAGAGACAATAAGGAGACACTGCAGTAACAAACAAAAACTGAACCCTTGTCAGTGCTAATAGGGGGGCCCCCCAACGCCAATACCTTAGGGGAAGGGGGCCCCTTGGATCTAACCCTATTCTACAGGGGATCCCTAGGGGGCCCTTGGAGGGCCCGCGAGGGGCAGGCACCCTAGAGTTGTCCTCTAGGGGGCCCCTAGGGGGCCCCAAGCAGCTGCAGCAGAAGGGAAGGGAGAGGGCAAAGGGTACAGCAGCAAATGTCTTACGAAGCAGCATCAGGGCCTGATATAGAGAGGAGGCCCCTACGGGGTACAGGGACGAGGGCCCCCAATCCTGACGTATGTATTCCCCTTTGCTGCAGCAGGGGGCCCCCATGGTACCCTCTAGGGAGGGGGGGACCAAATGGGCCCAGAAGACGACTCCAGTTCCTCCCTCCCGTCCCGTGCGCCATTAAGAGGGGCGCAGCCGCCTAGGGTTTAGGGTTTAGGGTTTAGGGTTTACGGTGAGTAGTGGTGGTATACGGAGGTCTAAATAAGGATAAAATACCCTTTTTTCTCTTATAGGGGCCCCCTTTCTTTATAAACAATTAAAGAAAAGACAGAAGACTCTCCTTAATAAGGAAGGAGGGCCTCCAAGAGAAGGTACTACACAAGGAGGCAACGGACAATGCCTGGGGGCCCCCCCAAGACAGGACATAAACACATAAAAAAATAAGTACTCATTGCTAAGAAAAAACAAACAAAAACCCTTAACCCTAAACCCTAAACCCTAAACCATAAACCCTGATACACACACCACACCAGGACCCTATGCGACATATGATGTTGGGGGCCCCCAAGGGGGGCCCCTGCGTCGCCAACTGATCGTAGGACTGCTAGTGTATAGGTGTCAGGAGGGTCTAGACTAAGGGGAATTTCTCTTTATTTTTTATATTAATTATTTAAATATAAATAATAATATTTAACCTATTTAATCCGCGTTAATAGACTGTTGTTGTTCCGCAGCAGCTAGTAGGGGCCCTGGGGGCCCCCAGGGGGGCCCCCCCCTTGACCTTAAGGCCTACCAGTGTACCCTGTCCTGCTGCCTGAAGGAGTCTTAAGGATATCATTTATAATTTGAATCATTTATATATACTGTTTTTCTTCTTTTTTGCTGCTGTTGCTGCATCAAGGGCCCCCCAGGGGCCCCTAGCCACAGCAGGACCGATAGATCCTTGAGTACTGGTTATCCCCCCTAGGGGCCCCTGCCACCTCCGGAGGGGCGGAGGAGTATTTATTTAAAGGGGCCTTTCTTAGGGGCCCCCATAGGGGCCCCCATGGGGCCCCCCCTTAACAAACATTGAGCCCACGTGATCCTAATAAGGATGGTGGGGGCCCCCAGGTGTCTTGAGGCCTTTTTTCTCTGTCTCTGCATCTTGGGGTTGGCCCTGGGGGCCCCAAGTATTGTCTTTTATTCAGCGGGGGCCTCTAGTGGGTCCCCTTGGGGATACCCGAGGGGGGCCCCCAGGTGCGGCTGCAGGGGCAAGACTCTTTCCTTCCTGCATAAGACAGGGGTAGGGGCCCCCGTGATTCCCTCTTTCTGTTCTAAGGGAGGCCCCCGCATCTTAGTGGATGTCCGTGTTGCTAAGTACAGAGAGGGGGCCCCTCTAAGGGGCCTCCTAGGGGGGCCCCTTTGGAAGACCAGGGGCCCCCTTGGAGCCTCTGGGGCCCCTGACGGGGGGGCTTCGGGGGCCCTAAAGGCAATGATGAATGGGTATACAGGAAAAGAACAGAATAGAGAGAATTTTTCTAATGAATTTCCTCAAGGGAGGAGAAGAGAGGCAATTAAGGGTCCCTATAGCGGGGGCCCCCGACATAGAGGGGGAGGAGAGGGGCCCCCAGTACCCTCAGGACACTCAGGGGCCCCAGTAAGAAGACGAAATATGAACCCTCATAACCCCCATAGTTCACAGGGGCCCCCCTACTTTAATAGGGAACAGGCTGATCAACAAGGGGGCCCCCCTTTTTTTTCTTCACACAAGAGGGGGCCCCAGGGTACACGAGGGTACGCAGACACCCAATACACCCGTGGAGGGCCTTCGTTCACAGCAGCACCGGCAGCAGAACAAGCAGCACCAGAGGGAGCTCCAGGGGCAGCAACAGCAGCACCAGCAGCAGCAGCAGGGGGGCCCTCCCCAGATGGTCGAGGTATGCGGGGGGGCCCCCCATACCGTGTTAGCCAGCCGCGTCTTCGCAATGTGTCTCAAGGGGGCCCCGAGAGGTCCTTCAACAGGGCCCCCTACAGGGGCCCCCCGCAGGGCCCCCCCCAAGGGGGACCCTCAATGGTACCTCCTGCATGCACGCAGCTAAAGGCGGGCCTCTATGTGCAGGGTACATGCATTCGTGTTTGGCCGCGCTATGCCATGCTGCAGCTGCTGCCTCAACAGGGGCCCCCAGGGGCCCCCGAAACCACCCAGGGATCAACAGGGGCCCCAGGGGCCCCCCAGGGGCCCATTGGCTTCCTGCATGTATCGGGTATTAGGCGCAATGGGGGGCCCCTCGCTGCAGGGGAGCTGCGATCCTTTGATCTTACAACAGTACGTCCTTCTCTTGCTGCACTGCTGCTGCTGCTGCTGCTGTTGCTGCTGCTCTTATTATTGTAATTATTATTATTTTGTTTGTGTTGTTGGTGTTTGCTGCTGTAGTTGCCTGTGACTTCCCTTGCCCCTCCGTTTACGCCATCCAATTGTGCTGCTGCTGCTGCTGCTGCTGTTGCTGCTGCTGCTGCTGCAGATCTTGTCTGCAGGGGCCTCCTGCACTGTCAGGCTTCTTAAGGAACCATCGGCAGAAACATCCAACAGATGGCAGTTAGCCCTCTATCTACCTGGAGCAGCAGAGCCGGGGCCCCCGGGGGCCCCTTCACGAGGGGGCCCCCTCAGGGGCCCCTCCGCAGAGGGGGATACGGGGGAGGTTGAGGATCCTTCCTCTGGGGGGCCCCAACAGGCCGATTATGGGTACGGTGGGGGGCCTAGTGAAGAGGAGTACCCTTTTAGAGGTGGGGGGCCCCTGGATGGGGGCCCCTTTGAGGGTACAGGAGAAGACGGTGGGGTTGGTGTTCTTGAGGGTTTAGGAGGGAGTAGAAGGAGACAGCGGTCTGCATCGAAGGGTACAAAGGGGCCCCGCAGCAGCAAGAAGGGGGGGGCCCCCAGCCGATGGGTAGCAAGGGATAGAGACAGAGAGGTAGAGGAAGACTTCTTTAATGAGGGGGCCCCTACAGAAGATTTAGCGGCCTTGGGTATCTTTGATGACACTATGGGGGGCCCCCAGCAACAGGGCCCCTTACCTCATACAGGGCAAGACACCCCCTTAGCAGCAGCAACAGTAGCAGCAACAGAAGAAACAGCTGCAGCAACAGCAGCAACAGCAGAAAGGGAAACAGCAGCAGAACCTGCTATTGCGGGTACATCTACGGCAGCTTCCTTGGGGCCCCGAGTAGGTGTTCGTTCCTCATCTAAATGGGGCCCCTCTCGTCGTCAGGGTACTGCTGGGGGGGCCCCTAAGAGGGGGGCCCCTAAGGGGGGCCCCCCTCCTCCAGAGGAAGTACAGCCAAGACCTGCTGTAGTAACAGTGTTAGGTCATGTTGATCATGGCAAGACAACCTTATTAGCTGCATTAAAACATATAAGCAAGATGCAAGAAATAAATAGGGAGGGGGGCCCCCCTGGGGGCCCCCCTACCTCTTCTCGACGATTGGGTACTAATAAGGAGGCCCTCAAGGCCTCAAAGGGGGGCCCCTTTATTATAAAAGAGGCAGGAGGGATTACCCAACGTATTGGATGTTTCCAGGTACACCACAAACACTTTAGGGTTTAGGGTTTAGGGTTTAGGGTTTAGGCTAAGAGGGAGATACAAGAAGGAGACACTGCTGCTGCTGCTGCTTCTACAACACCTGCTGCTGCTGCTGCTGCTGCTGCTGCGTGTTTGCTCAGGTGTTGCTGCCTGCATCGGTGTCTG